GTCCTTGTGACTCTATAAGTCTACCTGTATAAATAAAGGTAAAAAAAAATTAATCTGACCAACAAAATTACTGAACAGGTCACAGTGGGCTAATGAAACTTGGTTACATTGGTCCACTTGTGTGTGTGTGGGGGGGGGGGGGGGGCTTTGTTTCCCCTGCTCCCGTTCTCTCCACCCCTCCCTGTTGTGCTCCCAGGGAGGGGTGGAACGTGATGAAGAGGACAGCACAAGCTCATGGGCGCAGGAAGATTTCAACTCAGTTCAGTTTATTTATATAACGCCAAGTCACAAGTCATCTCAGGGCACAAGATGAAGACGGTGATCAATGACTTCCTGGTAGGCTACTGTATTTTTATTTTTTTAACCAGAGGTGTTGCAGGTACTGTTCAGAAAAAAACATTTACTGCACGTGTATTTGTGTATGTTACCGGTGCATATTTAATTTATTAACCTTTATTTAACCAGGTAAATCCCACTGAGATCACAGAACTCTTTTGCAAGGGAGGCCTGGGCCTGAAGGCAGCCTAACATGCATGTTTTTGAGGTTTGAACCCAGGGCCTTCTTGCTGTGAGGCAACAGTGCTAACCACTGAGCCACTGTGCTGCCAAACCAAAATTAAAAGTTTAACAAATCTTTCTGTGTAAATATCTCATGTAACAACATGGACACACGCAGTTTATAGAAAAGTGCGGCCTATATACGTACAATTTTATTTTTTTGATTTAGTGGGCGTGGCTTATATTCAGGTGCGCTCAATAGTCCGGAAATTACGGTATTTCAACTTGGGCTATCTCGTGTGTGTATGTTCAAGTTGAGGATACATTTTAAATTGTTTGAAAGCATTCTTGGATCATTTGTAGGAACATTTGAAGAAAACTGGTTTTATTGTTGGCTGTGCTGCGGAACGTCTCACAAAGATGACATCATATTTATCTCCTGTTACAAGAGGAGCAGATCGGGTTATTTTACAGAAAGCGTTCGTCTGGTCTCACCTTCGTAGCCATGAGGAATTTGTTCCAGTCTTCCTTGTTGGCTGCTTTTCCCGCTGAAGAAAACTCAATTTTATTCCTAAGCACCGGGTATCCTGAAGGTAGGAACAGCACAAAGGTCAAAGGTCAAACTGGAAAACAGGCAAGCAGCCGAGAGCAAAAAGATCCTGCTGTTCTTATTTACTTTTTAATTTAAATTTAAGAAGGAAAAACTAAAATAAGACACTTTTTTCATACAAGACTCTTAAATAAACGTGTCAAAATAAGAAAAATAATAATATTATGGCACAATAATGGTAAAAATGAACAAAGCCTAATTATTTATGAAGGAACAGGCGGGCGCATTAGAGGCAACATAATGCTGCATAAAAAATTAAAAATATAAAAACAAAATGTTTTTAAATAAGTTGTAAAGCTCCTAATGCCCCGAGCAGCAACTTTAGTTTACATTAATTTAAGGAATATTAACTAAAGAGGATATTAAAGAAAACTGAATCGTAGTTTATGCTTAAAAATTGTACAATAATAAATTTTAATCATAAATTTAAGAGACTGTCTCTGATTAGTTAATTTTTACATTTACTCTACTCAAGAATATTTAGGTAATTATGAAATACTAAGACTAACTTGTTGTCTGATTAATATATTTATTTCTTGTCCATGTTTGTAGCTGCACTTAAAATAAAACTAAAGATATATATTAAGATTACAAAGAACGATCTAACACAAGCACAAAAGAATAAACTCAGTAAGACAAGAAACGTTTTGACGTATTAATTTAGTTTATGTTAGTTTCTTAGGCTTCGGTGTGTAAAGAGGTGTGTGTGTCACCGGTCAGAACGCAGGGCAGCGAGCGGAGTCCGGTGCTCGCCGCCACCAGCGAGGCTTCGTACGTGTTCCTGTCGTCACGGGGAAGAACCTGCTCCACCCGCTGGTCCATGGACATCATCAGAACCCAGTCCCGGATCTGCTCCCGTTGATCAACCTGAAGGTCGCAGCACAGGAGGAAAATGTCAAAAACTTATTTATTTATTTATTTACTCATTTATTTATTTACTCATTTATTTATTTACTCATTTATTTACTCCCTCCCTCCCTCCCTCCCTCCCTCCCTCCCTCCCTCCCTC